TGTATATATGTGTGTGTATGTGTGTGTGTACGTATGTGTGTGTATGTGTGTGTGTACGTATGTGTGTGTGTACGTGTGTGTGTGTGTGTGTGTATGTGTGTGTGTGTGTGTGTATAGGATTGGGGAAACATGTATATTTATATATGTTTCCCCAACCCAATGTAGACGTTTCTATTTGCCTACATACTATTTTTGTGTGTGTGTGTGCCTTCAAGTCATTGCTGACTCCTGGCAACTGCCTGGACTAGTCGTTGTTTTCTTGGCAAAAATTTCAGAAGTGGTTCATCACTGCCTTCTTCCTAGGAGAGAGTGACTAGCCCAATTGCAAAACCAAAAACCCAAAAGCAGAAGTACAGATACAGGAAATAAAAAGTGTGTCAATATATCATTCTGCACTGCTCATGTCTTGCATACCTCTACATCTTCTTATTTGACAAGCCTAAGATAGTACCATATGGAATGCAGGGTAACACAATACATTTTCTTCTTGAATATATTAAGTAGAACTAGAAATGTAGTCAGACATGAGGATCCATCAAGGGCCAGGGGGCATAAAGATGGTATAAGGGTCAACTCTGTATCAAGGCAATTTTTTATTTAAATACAGGGGACCAAGTTCATTTCTCCCACTTTCTTCCAAAGAAGAAGAAACATGGTTTATCTGACTACAGCACTGATATCTGGAGTCCTATTTTCTACTTCTGAATTTTGTGGCTGGTATAGGACTGCGCTGTTTGGTGTTTGTGAGTTTACCTGTAGACTCTGGATTTCCAAATTTAGTCCAGTTTGATTCTCTTGCAGCCAGACTGAAGTCAAGGATTGAAAAGAGCTACCAGAACATTGACTACTTTTATTGTTAGCTCAAATGGAGAAGAGGGCAGGAGACTGAAAAATCCCAGTTTTTTAAAATTTAAAAACACTTTTTAAAAATTTTTTAAGGGTATCTAAGTGATTGTGAAGTTTCTGAGATGCCAACTCCTTTCTATTTTTGTGTAATACACTTTATACATTAATATATAATTGGAAAGATGGCTATTCAGTTTCTGTTTAAATACATTCAATGAAGGGGAGTCCACCATGATTCCGGTTAATTGGTGCTACTGTCTAACTGCTCTTACTATTAGAATTTTTTTCTAACATTTAATTGAAATATGCCTTCCTGTAACTTAAGATCATTATTCTGTCTCTGGCAGTGTAAGAAAATAAAGTTTTGATCTTTTTCAATGTGACACATCCCTTCAGATAGCTGTAGTACTATAATACGCTCCTTCAATTGTCTTTTCTCAAGGCTAAACATACTGAGTTCCCTCTATCTCTTCTCATCAGATTTAGTTTCTAGTCCTCTGATTATCACTGTTGTTCTCTGAATTGTTCCAGTTTATGTGAATTCTTTCTAAAATGTAGTACATAGAACTGAACACAAGACCTGAGGTAGGGTCTGGCCAATAAATAATACTTCTTGTAATTGTAATATTTCTTGTGATTTGGAAACTGTACTTTTGTTGATGCTGCCAAAATTTGCATTTGCTTTTTTTCCAGTGCACCACTGCCAAGCCAGGTATCCCCATTTATATAGGAAAGGAGATCGATAGCTTGATAACAGTACATTGGAAAAAAGGCAAATGCAAGCACAAGAAATACGCTACTCACATTTGTCTCTATTAAAATTAATTCTGCCATTTTCAATCCATTCTCTATCATCAAGATTGTCTTGAATTTTATTTCTATCCTTTAGAGCAGTGTTTCTCAACCTTAGCAACTCTAAGAAGTGTAGACTTCAACTCTCAGCATGCTGGCTGGGGAATTCTGGGAGTTGAGTCCACACATGCTAACTTTACCAAGGTTGAGAAAAATTGCTCTAGAGTATTAGTTAACCCACCCAGTTATGGATCACCTACAAATCTAATAAATATTGTCACCATCTTTTCAACCCAAGTAACAGTCCTAAAACTTTACTTTGTATGTCACTGGAATCTGATGAAAAGCTGTTTGAATATCATTTCCAAGCCTACTATGGATGCAACCTAATACACATACCACTACAAATTCATACTTGCTAAACAGCATCTCATGAGCAATTCTGTCAAACATTTTGTTCAAATCAAAATAAGTAACATTCACACAATCTAAAAGTTATTCAATTTTGTAAAATGAAATAAGATTATTTTGCTAAATTTCTGTTTGTTCTTAACAAATCTGTGCTGACTTCTAATAATCACGTAGTTTCAGTTAAATAGATTGCTTTTTTATCTGCTCTACAATCTTCCCACGTATCCTTTTACAAAGACATAGGATAAGCAATTCAGTCTCAAAATAAAAACTACAGGTAAATGAGTTATTAATAAATAATTCAGATATAAAATTATATCTACCATTTTTGGACCAAAAAAAAAAAAAACTTCCCACCCCCAAATGTTTGAAAAGGGAGTCAGATCTCTAACCGAGATCTGACTATTGTCTTAGATAAAATAGACATGTTCCTGACTAAGCAGAAAAGAGAAACAAGGTGGTCTATGAGCAAAGCCAAAAATAATTTAATGAGCCAGCCAAAACAAGGCCATTATATCCAAACTCTGTAAGTATGCTTAGTAAGTGAAGGAAATAAAACCCAACAATACTATCCTTCTTTAAGCCAAGGATGGAGCACTTTTGGAAAATTCTCGGTTCAGTCTCTGACACGACCATCACTGGGAAAAATCTCAGCCTGAAACGCCGGACAGTTACTACTGTAAGTTCGTTGCTAGACGGACCAACAGGCTGACCTAACGTGAGGAGCTTCTAATGTTCCCAAGGCCCCACTCACTTCGGTGCTTTTTCTCGCCCTCCGGGCCAGCTGAATTTGCCCCTGGAAGTGACTCTACCCAGTGTGACCTGACTCCACCCACCGTTCACAAGCCCATCGTGGCCTTGGTGTTGCCCGTCCCCGCCCCACCCGTTTTTACAGGCACCAGGCTGTCAGCCCGCACCTATGCGCTACGCCATGTGCCAGGGCGGGGAGGACAGAACGGAAGAGGGGGCAGAAGCCACTGCGCGACCCGTCACATCCCCAAGAAAGTCCGATCTCCTCCCGTCCCCTTCTGAAGACCAAAAGTGAGATAGGAGGGGGAGAGTTCCCAGCGTCTTCACAGCAATCACAACTCACCGAGCCCCGCTGTGTACTAACAGTGGTCGCCATAGCACGTCCCTCAGACTCCCTTCCTCTCTCACTGGTGGTCCGTTGCTCCAACAGGGAAAGTCCGCTGATTCCCCTTCGTTCCAGTCTCGCCACGCCCCCAAATCCACCGCTACTTAGCACTGCGCTTGCGCTCAAGGCTCCCTTGGCAGCCGGCGCCGCCGGGCGAACCGCTATGCGGTTAGACGCATGCGCCAAACAGAGGAAATTCCGGTTCTATAGCGTCGTTGTTTTTTGGTCATGTTCGACTGGCCTTTTGCTGGTGACGTCAGGTTCCCGTGATCTTTTTCTGAGGGCGCGGGGCATTAGGCGAGGATTCGGTCGGGGGGGGGGCGTTACTGTGTATCTGCCGAACGTTAGTACGTAATACTGCTGTAGAGACAGTTGAACGTTTTTGAACGTTTCAGCTGTTCGGCCTTCGCCGTTAATGACATCACTAGCCTAAGCAATCACACCGCCATTTCTTCAGAGTGTGTTAAGCTTATGATTCAGGCCGCGCGAGTGAAAGACTAGGGTCTCAACGCATCGACGCCAGGAGCCATCCGATTGGCTGGGAGGACCAGGTGGGCGGGGCAAGAGATTTTTTTTTTAACGCTGACGGAAAATTGGACGACGCGAACGCAATTGTTTTTTTTCCTTTTCATCGGTACCTCCCCCTCTCTTTTTGGATTGGCCGATGTCTGCGACTGCCTTGGGATCACTCTTCGTCTTCCAGTCGCTCCAAGCGGGGGAAGGTGTGTGCCGAAAGCAGCAGTAGAAGCCCGAGCTGTCGCGTTTGAATGTGTTCACGAGCTCAACTGTACGCGAGTTTGAGGAGCATGTTCGCTTTCTCATGCAACACAAAATAAAAACAAGGTGGTGGAAAGAATCCCTCAGACTGCAGAGGGCTTCTATTTGGGGATGCTAAGAAGGGCTTCTTTCGAAGTAAGCACCACAGGGAAGGGTTTTGGTTGCAGAGAAATGTTGGTAGGAAGCCAAAACGGATACGATAAATATACTAATAATAACGTGGATTAAAATATCCTTTTGTAGCCTGCTGCAGTTTGAAATAGAATTCTTTCAGTTCATTTTCCTACACGCCTAATCTTCGGCTTAGGGAGGCTGTTTGGCATAGTAAATGCTAATGCCCAGTGCGGTTCTCCTTGTGTCTGGGGCAGTAGACAGGATTGCAGCCTAAAATGATGGGCAGGGTGTAGGATACATCCTTTGCAACTAGGGTATCATATCTGTTTTGCGTTTCTACCAACAGACAGCCATGAATAAAAGCTGTGGTTATTGAGTCAGCCTGTCTGTTGGCTGACTGCTTAGTATCCACCATGTTCCCTTCCCTTTAGATTATCTTGTGAAGTATATGATGAACACTTAGCAGAAGAGAAAAAAATAAAGTAGATGTAAATAGAACCAAAGGCGGGGAAGGAAGCTGGGAATGGGCGGTTGTGAGGCGTCTGTGTTTCTGTGCCTTCCTTTGCATTAAACCTACCTGCTGGAACACGAACTAGTGTAGAACTATCTCGGACAACATTAATTTCTTATTTTCTATCAGAAACAGCACATTGATCCATAAAGAAAATTCCCTTTTGCTATTACCCAGGTGTGTCTGAATCAAACGACTGCTACCTCAAAATCACCTTTTTGTTTGTTTAGCTTCTGAACTCTTCACCTCTTGTGTAGCTCCAGTCTTTAACAGAACAAAGGTATTATAATATTATTCTGAGTGCTGTGTTGGGAAACCTAGTCTGATCACTTCAAAGCTTATTTAAATAAAATAGCTGTTTCCTGTTACCAAGATCAGCATTCATTTAATTAAAATTCATATTTCAGATCCAAGCAGCCAGAAAAAGAATGGTGCAATTAGGGGTTTTGCAATTTATAATGGTTATTTGCATGACATACAATATACAGTATATACAAGAGGCAGATACTTCACTGTTATTGTGTTGGCTTGAATAAACTGATAGTGAGGTAGTGTAATTAAGAGAGTATGGACGATAACATTTATCAAATTTTAGCTGAGCAACTAAAGAAAGAGCAGCCACAAAATATCCACAGGAAGCCTGAATTCAGTTCAGGTAACTGGATGTGAATAAAGGACTTATTTAACTAATAATTATCTCCTGGAATTATCTTGGTACTCTTGAGTATCACGTTAAGTCCAAAAAGTATTGTGCCAGAATAGTTTTGTTTCTAAACAAACTATATTTGTGGTTAAATGTATATTTGAAAAAAATTACTTAAAACTTCCACTTGTGTTTTGAAGAAAGGCCACTGACTGGGTGAGGAGCTACAGTCAATTGTTTTCTTGGAACAGTGGTCACCCAGGCTCTCTACATATTTTCCTTGGTGTTCTCCAGGCTCAGGAAGACCTGCACGAAAATGTAGATCACAAGCGCTGCAGATGTTTCACTATGTTTGTCCATTGACTGGTGGCTGGACATGGTGTTAGTTTTGTTCTGATTGGTCTGCTTCCCACTTCCTATTACCCCAGTGACAAAATATGTAAGCAAAAGCATTGCAGGGCCTGAGAAAGGAAGCTCTGGGTGGGTTTTTAACTTCTATTGAAGGATTTGAGAAAGGATGAGCTAGAAGGATTTTGTGTTTTAGTCTTCCATATATAGCTAGATCTTAAGATACTAACAGTTTTTCCAAGGTTTGATATTTTTTTCTGAAAAAAATGGACTATTACATAATATTTTCATTTGCAATATTAATACTTAAAATAATGAAGTTGTAAAATAAATTGGTCTGGGTTTGGAATAGATCAAGGAGCAAACTAACATAAAAGGTAGAAAACCTTGTATTAATCTAGGACAAAAATTAGTTTTCAGAAGACAGTAAATGACAAAGTTATACAATTAAAGATCAGAAGGTGTAGAATCTGAAGAAAGTACGTTAGATTTACTTCATCCAATAGTGAATGTTTTGTTCTTTCAATCCAAGGTATTCTCAGCATTTTTCTCTAGGACTTTGTTCATCCTTTCTGATGATCCAGCTTTCCTAGATACATATTACAACTGGGAAAAAATATGACACTAACAATACTTTGTTGTCAGTGTGATATCTCTGTATTTTAACATTTTTGCTTTATGCTGTTATAGTCCTTCTCCCAAAGAGCAGACCTCTGTTTATTTAATGACTGCAGTCGCTATCCCTGCAATGCAAGTAGCTCAAGCCAGGGCAAAACACAATAGAGTTGCTGTAAAAATGTCCAAGCCCTGGTTGCCACGCTATAATAATTATTCCCCCTGAAAGAAATGGGCTCTGTACTTTTCCAGCAGACACACTATGAGGGATGTATCATTATTTCTCACACATACGCACACAGATTGAGGAATCTGTTGAATCTTTTTTGCAGTTAATAGGAAGAGAGGAAATCACTATTGCCACCTGCTGAGCAGTTCAGGGAACTGTTAGTATTATGAATGGTTGTGACAGGTGTTGCTATATTTTCCCAAGTGGAATTTCAGGGGAAGCAGAAATTACTGGTGCAGAAAAGCATCTGATGAATTCCTAATAATTTTAGTGATTAAATTGAAGCCATGGGAAAGGTGATAAAATAGAAGTCTTAATGCCATTGGCAATACATTGGTGTAATTTTAAAGAACAGGTTGGAGAAGTTCAAGTGAATGAAAAGGTTATACATTTATATTTATTTCGCACTAAAAATGTAAGATGTAGTAACTTTCCCATTTTCTTCCTTCTTACCATTTTAATGCATAATTTACCTATTTTAGTATTTTAACTTGCATTCCCAAACCATGGATAGCTGTACATGCCAGTAATGAAAAAGCATCTTTACTTTAATGCAAGGGTCTGAGTGTATAATTTTCTGATCACAAATGTTGTATAAGCATGTTAATATAGTTTCAGTCCTCCAGGACTAATATTTTTGGGGAGCATCAAGTCAAAATGAACCTGCTAATAAAACCTTTTATAAAAAAGAATCTACACAAATAATTTATATGGTTCTCTCTCCAAAAGCATGCTGGACTATAAGTACTATACAGAATGATTTTTTCCATGAAAATGCAGGGGTAGCATAACCCTTCCTTACACCAATTTCTTTGTATCCACTGATATAAATTGAACTTTATATATTTTTATAAAGTAAAATTATGCGCCACACTTATATATTAGTACAGCTCTAATTTCCTCAATAAGTTCTACCCTCTGTAGTGGTAGTAACAACAGCAGTAAAGAATACAATGTAAACAGTATTTCCTTTCCTTTTCAATATTTTTTACCATATGTACTGAACATACAGTAACTTGATGTGGGGGCATGAAGAGATACACTGCTGTCTACAGATGGGGAGATTTTAACTGACAGCTTCTATAGTCTCTCTGAAATCTCTGTCTAGTAACAATCTCTATCTGCTGTAAACAGTTACCATGCCTTAATATGGCAACTGAAAGTAAAGTGCAGCTTTTACTTGCCACCATGAAGGAGCCTCAGGGAGTCTCTCTGACTTCTGCAGCCTCTTAAAGCTGACCCACTGTTTCAGTGCAAATTAGGCTATGTAAGTGAAACGCTATACATTGGCAACAGAGAGATAAGTATAAAATTTTAACTTTGTCATGTAGTCTTTTTAACTCTGTTTTGTAGTTTTTAAAACGGTTTTTATACTTCTTATGTGTGAGCTGCCTAGAGCCGCTTACATAGTGAGATGGGCGACATAAATTTGATAAATAAATAAAAAATAAAAATACGTAGCCATCCAAATGGATCTCAAGCTGAGATTTACACTGCTCATGTAGAGGACAGAAAAGCAAATCATGGGAATGCATTATTTCACCATGTTCTTGAAATCTTTGCATGTTCTTCCCCTTCTTGCATAGCCATAAAATATTATGCTGGCTTGATGCCAAAACATAACAAGGATGAGAAGTACTGTCTATTTAGATCCCTACATAAAATAGTGACTCTTCATAAACAGGGGTAGAGCAGAATTCATGAATTTGTTTGTTTGTTTGTTTGCTGTAGATTATTCAAGCAAACTCCTAGGGAACATATAGAAGACAAACAGAAGTCTTCCTGTACTGCAGGATGCTGTACTTTGTAATGGATGGAAAAAGAAATACCCAGGTTAACAACAATTCTGACAAGCAAATTTTCCTCATTCCTTCAACTTTCTCTAGTATAATTATAGAAGGAAAGGGTTAAACAAAAATCTCCACTAAATTATTGTTTACTCTGTAGGCAAGGTTTCACTGCA